TCACATTCATACACACATACACCAATACCCTAACACATACACATTCATACACACAATACACTTAACACAACTACACTTACACACATACACTACACACACACAACACACACACACACACACACACACACAACACAACACACACACACACACACCCAAAACACACACAACACGCACACACACACACACACACACATATCCATCTACACACGTCTGTGCAGAGTGCTAGAAGTGAATTGGCTATAAGAAACTGGGAAACCTATAAGGTAGATTAAATGCTGGTGGGCGGGACACTTGGAACAAAATCACTATTTCATACAGGTACAAATAGGTAACTTAAAAAAACACAAATAAGCCCAGAGACTTCTTTACTCTACACAGCCAAAGTTAGGTGAATACACTCGCAAAAATTGCATCAGGAAAAATGCTAAAATGGGGGGAACAACAAAGGCAAACGTTCAATAACACAAAACTGTATTACATAACAGTAACGCTCAACTAGAACCAACAGCATACATTAGCACAACCCAGTACCATCACAGCACTATCACAGTAGTACACAATACACGAGACAATACTACAGATACAAACACTAACAAAATAAGTTGTACTTTCATGCCTCTAAACGAGTGTTATTCCAGTATGTATATATGTAATCGTATTACAGCTACTACTATCACACCATAAAAAGACAAGTCACCCACGCTCATTCAGTTTCCAAAATAAAATGCGCAAACACAAACAACAAAATTTACGCAAAATACGCGCGTACCTAAAACCCCCTACTAAATGCATTGACTTTGCGCAAAAAAAAAAAAATCGAGGGCACACACACACACACACAACACACACACACACACAACAAAACACACACACACACACACAACACCACACACACACACACACACAACACACACACACACACAACCACACACAGTTTAAGAGGCGGGGCCAGGAGCTCGGATCGACCCCGCAACCTCAACTAGGTGAGTACAGACACGCGCGCACGCGCGCACACACACAAAACACACACGACACACCACACACACACACACACACACACACACACAACACACACACACACACACCCACACCAACACACACACCCCCACAAAACACACACAACAACACAAAACACAACACACACACACAAACACACACAAAACAGGGCACACACACACAGACCACACACACACAACACACAAAACACACACAACACACACACACACCCCACACACACACACACACACACACACACACTGACACAGACACACACACTGACACAGACACACACACACAGACACAGACACACACTGGAGGACCAAGCAGGGATAACAGGGAAGGCACTACAATGGATCAGGGAATACTTGTCAGGAAGACAGCAGCGAGGCATGGGAACGTGGCGAGGTGTCAGAGTGGGCACCTGTGACCAGCGGGATCCCGCAGGGGGCAGTCCTAGGACCAGTGCTGTTTCTGGTATTTGTGAACGACATGACGGAAGGAATAGACTCTGAGGTGTCCCAGTTTGCAGATGACGTGAAGTTGATGAGAAGAATTCACTCGATCGAAGACCAGGCAGAACTACAAAGGGATCTGGACAGGCCTGCAGACCTGGGCCAGCATTGGCTCCTGGAGTTCAATCCCACCAAGTGGAAAGTCATGAAGATTGGGGAAGGGCAAAGAAGGCCCCAGACGAGTACAGTCTAGGGGGTCAGAGACTACAAACCTCACTCAAGGAAAAAGATCTTGGGGTGAGTATAAACACCAGGCACATCTCCTGAAGCGCCCCATCAACCAAAATAAACTGCGCAGCATTGGTCGCCTAGCAAACCTCAGAACAGCATTCCGACATCTTAATAAGGAAAACATTTAGGGGCTCTGTACACCGTGTTGTTTAGGCCCATATTGGAGTATTGCGGCACCCCGTTTGGAACCCACACCTAGCCAAGCACGTGAAGAAACTAGAGAAAGTGCAAAGGTTTTTCAACAAGACTAGTCCCAGAGCTAAGAGGTATGTCCTACGAGGAGAGGTTTTTAAAGGGGGAAAACAACCTGACGACACTGGGGGACAGGAGAGATAGGGGGGGCATGATAACGACATACAATAATACTGAGAGGAATTGACAAGGTGGACAAAGACAGGATGTTCCAGAGATTGGACACAGTAACAAGGTGACACAGTTGGAAGCTGAAGACACAGATGAATCACAGGGATGTTAGGAAGTATTTCTTCAGCCACAGAGTAGTCAGTAAGTGGAATAGTTTGGGAAGCGATGTAGTGGAGGCAGGATCCATACATAGCTTTAAGCAGAGGTATGATAAAGCTCATGGTTCAGGGAGAGTGACCTAGTATGATAAAGCTTATGGTTCAGGGAGAGTGACCTAGTAACGATCAGTGAAGAGGCGGGGCCAGGAGCTCGGACTCTACTCGACCCCTGCAAACACACACACACACAACACACACTAACACATGCAAATACAACAGGTCTAGTATCTAATCGACATGTGCCTAGGACAAAAATGGTAACTAACACAATCCCCAAATACATCCCCCCACACAATCCCCCACAAAACATCCCCCACACATCTTCCCCCACAACACCCCCCACACACATCCCCCACAAACATCCCCCACACACATCCCCCACACACATCCCCCCAACACATCCCCCACACAAATCCCCCACACACATCCCCCCAACAAAAACCCCACACACATCCCCCCCACAAAAAATCCCCCCACACACATCCCCCCACACATCCCCCACACACATCCCCCACACACATCCCCCCACACATCCCCCCACACACATCCCCCTCACATATCCCCCCACACACATCCCCCACACACATCCCCCCACACACATCCCCCCACACACATCCTTCCCACACACATCCCCCACACACATCCCCCCCATACACATCCCCCCATACACATCCCCCCCATACACATCCCCCCCCACACATGTCCCCCACACATGTCCCCCACACATGTCCCCCACACAATCCCCCCCACACATCCCCCCACACATCCCCCCACACATCCCCCACACACATCCCCCCACACACATCCCCCACACACATCCCCCCACACATCCTTCCCACACACATCCTCCCCACACACATCCTCCCCACACACATTTCCCCTCACACGTCCCCCCCACACACTTCCCCCCACACACTTCCCCCCACACACGTCCCCCCCACACGTCCCCCCCCCACACACATCCCCCCACACACATCCCCCCTACACATCCCCCCACACACATCCCCCACACACATCCCCCACACACATCCCCCCACACACATCCCCCCACACACATCCCCCCCACACACATCCCCCCACACGCATCCCCCCACACACATCCCCCTCACACACATCCCCCCACACATCCCCTCCACATACATCCCCTCCACATACATCCCCTCCACATACATCCCCCCACACATCCCCCCCCACACACATCCCCCCACACACATCCCCCCACACACATCCCCCCACACACATCCCCCCACACACATCCCCCCACACACATCCCCCACACACATCCCCCCCACACCACACATCCCCCCCCACACACCCCGCACACATCCCCCCACACACATCCCCCACACACATCCCCCACACACATCCCCCCACACACATCCCCCCACACACATCCCCCCACACACATCCCCCCACACACATCCCCCCCACACACATCCCCCACACACACATCCCCCCACACACATCCCCCCACACATCCCCCCACACACATCCCCCCACACACATCCCCCCCCCACACATATCCCCCCACACACATCCCCCCCACACACATCCCCCCACACACATCCCCCCACACACAATCCCCCCACACACATCCCCCACACACATCCCCCCCACACACATCCCCCCCACACACATCCCCCACACACATCCCCCACACATCCCCCCACACACATTCCCCCACACGCATCCCCCCCACACATCCCCCCCACACACATCCCTTCACGCATCCCCCCCACACACATTCCCCTCACACACATCCCTTACATCCCCTTACAACACACCCCCCACACACATCCTCCCCACACACATCCTCCCCACACACATCTCCCCACACACATCCCCCCCACCCCCCCCACACACATCCCCCACCACACATCCCCCCACACACATCCCCCCACACACATCCCCCCACACATCCCCACACACACACACCCACTCACATCCCCCACCCCCCCCCACACACATCCCCCACACACATCCCCCCCACACATCCCCCACACACATCCCCCACACTCCCCCCAACACATCCCCCCCACAAATCCCCCCACACACATCCCCCACACACATCCCCCCACACACATCCCCACAACATCCCCCCCACATCCCTCCCACATCCCCCCACACATCCTCCCACACTTCCCCTCACACATCCCCCACACATCCCCCCCACACATCCCCCACACACCCCCACACCCCCCTACACACACTTGTTATATCTTTTTGAGTTTCAAGAGTCTTTCTACTCCATTTGCCTGGCTCGTCTGGTGGTATCCTGTTCATCCATGCTGTTACTGCTGGAGGCCCACTGTTCCAACATATCCATCACACCCCAGTTGATCTGGCACCTGATGAAGATACTTGTCCAGTTTCCTTTTGAAGATTTCTATACTTGTTCCAGCAATGTTTCTGATATCTTCTGTTAACATATTGAATAATGTTGCTCCACGGATGTTGATACAGTGTTCTCTTATTGTGCCTATTGCACCCCTGCTCTTCATTTGGTTTATTTTCAGTTTCCCATCTCTCTCACTCCAGTACGTTACGGCAGTGTGCAGATTTGGAACAGGTCCTTGAGTACTTTTCTGGTATATATTATCATGTATTTTTCTCTCCACTCGAGTGAGTACTTTAAGGTGTTCGCATATGCATCCATTAGAGTAATTATGAATTAAGTGTTAGGTTATGAAATAATCTTCTTGATCATGTCTTGATAGTTTTGTCTTTTGTCTTTCAGGTTAGCAGACGAGTAGAATATGGACAACAGGTAAATAAACTTATTCTCAACTTATAGTTTTTTTTAGCTCAAGGTAAGAGTGTATGGTGTGTCCCATTAGGGGGGATAGCTTTAGTAGTTCATAATGTTTTACTTCTGTGCTCAGAGTTGTTAACCTGGGAGGTACCTGAAGTATACCTGAATCATATTTCTGGGGTTAATGCCACCAGGGGCAGAGGGCAGGAGGTTAAGAGGTCTGGTAACTTTAAATTTAAATTGGCTAACTCTATTTGTGCTAATCTTTGGACTGACACCTACTCCAGAAAGACATTATGGTGTTTCCTTCCCAGAGAACTTGAATGTAAGCGGACCTAGACTCAACATGATCTCTTCGTGCGTAAGAGGAATTACTAACATACCCCTTGCTGTGTTTGAGGAAAACGGATAAATGTAACCCCTATTGGGGTTACTTTTTGCACACTACATTCTAGGCCTGGTGCTGTCATCTGATGAGCAGAGTTCAGTCCTAGACCTGACGACCAGACCCTGCCGAGTCCTTACTTCTCTCCAGACACTCCTACCAGCAAGATGTGGGGTAGCATCTAACATGCTGCTCTTTTAACATAGACTAATGAACCTAAGGCTGGTGCCAGCAGTAAAAACCCTAGTCATGACAACACATTTTCTGCGAAATAAATTTCTCTAATCAGTTCCTGCTCAGCTGGGCTGTGGTGCATAAATTGAACTATTTGGGCTGGCACTAAAAACCTGGTTGATCAGGCCAGCATCCGGGAGGCCTGGTCTGGAACCAGGTCGCAACCTCCTGAATTGTCTCAAGCCTGGCCTATTACCTGGAGTTTACCTGGCCTATGGCCAAGCTCTGGAACTCAGAGGTATATCTGATTAAGTTTTCTTTCCATCCTGAGACATGTATTCTCTAACATCCTACCTGCCTGATTTCAGGGGTTAGTTCCCCCCATGGTCTGGTTCTAGAGGAAAAATCACACTCAATGCCCTGATTAACTAGGTTGTTGTCGTGAGCTGCACAAAGTTAAAAGTGTGCATCACAACCCGGCTGAAAAGAAACTTACCCAGGTTGTTCTTGAAGATAGTCATGGGTCTGTTGGTAATTCCTCTTGTGTATGCAGGGAGAGTATTGAGAAGTCTTAGTCCAGTCATACTTAATGCATGTGGGTTACTCTTGCTTTCCATTGGAGCATTGTGCACCATCAGTCAAGTCTCTTGCTCACAATTGTAGGAAGTGATTTGTGTGTGCAGATTTGGGGCCAACTCCTCTAGGATTTTGCATCTTTGTCTTTGGTATTTCCTTTGGTTTTTCCTATTACAGCATTGCTCTGGGTCTGGCTTGTCTGGTGCTTGTTGATTAACCCTTTGACTGTCGCGGCCGTATATATACGTCTTACGAGGTACCGTGTTTGACGTATATATACTCATAAATTCTAGCGGCTTCAAATCAAGCAGGAGAAAGCTGGTAGGCCCACATGTGAGAGAATGGGTCTGTGTGGTCAGTGTGCACCACATAAAAAAAAATCCTGTAGCACGCAGTGCATAATGAGAAAAAAAAAACTCCGACCGTTTTTTTAATTAAAATGCCGACTTTGTGGTCTATTTTCGTATAGTATTTATGGTTGTATTCTCGTTTTCTTGGTCTCATTTGATAGAATGGAAAACATAATATAGAAATAGAGGTGACTTTGATTGATTTTACTATAAAAAGAACCTGGAAATGGAGCTCAAAGTAGGGGAAATGTTTAATTTTTACCGATGTTCAAAAGTACACAAATGATGTCATTGTCCAATAAATGTCCAACTAGCCATTCTAATATGCAGTCATGAATGGGTTGATGTTATTTATACAATTATTACAGTATTGCAGTAGTCTGCATAATAGTAAGTCTTCTATTTTTTTGTTTGAATAAAAATTCAAAATAGAAAGCAAGAGTAATATCAGAAGGGCCCGGAGACATGACTGATGAATAAAGAAAATGTTATTTTAGAGCCAGGAATGTCTGCATTGTTCATTCTGGACCTTATTTTGACATTGTTATATTTTATAATTTTCGTGAAATTGGCCAAGTTGCAAATTTCTGACCACATTATTGGGTAGTTGAAATTGGTAAATGGGCAGTTTCTTGTACTCAATCGATAGAAAAAATGGAGTTCTAAAGAAATAGCTATGACTTTGGTCGACTGGCACAAAGGAATTAGCCGAAAATAGGGCTCAAAGTGGGCGAAATCGCCGATTTGTCAATATCGCCGGGGTCGCTAACTTCGCGAGAGCATAATTCCGTCAGTTTTCCATCAAATTTCGTTTTTTTAGTGTCATTACAATCGGGAAAAGATTCTCTATCATTTCACAAGAAAAATAATTTTTTTTTTTTTGACATTTTGCGACACCAGGAGACACCTCAGGATTGGGGGTTGCGACAGTCAAGGGGTTAATGAGGCTGTTGCTCGTAGCATCCCACTGACTCTCAAATTCATCACGTTCACTCCAATATGTTGGTATGTGTTACAAAAAGGCAATATATATTAAGTATAGACATTTCCAGAGAATACTAGGCGTCCCCTTCTAGCATTCAGCCTGTTTGTTTTTTTTGTAACAAGTAGAAAGTATTCTGGTTCAGTTATCCTTTAAAATTTTGGTAAATTTTAATAGTGCTTTAGGATTGCAACTGGTAGGATACTAACTAACGAAATAAAAATTGAGAAGTTTATTAACAAAGCTGTCTAGGTGGACAAAATCAGAGTAAATGAATTTGATAAAATTTAGGATATATAAGCTTCTACACTTCTCTTATAGTAGTATAGTGAAGGAACATTTCATATTATGGCTTAAGCACCGTATGGTATGTTATCAATTATAAAAATTCTAGCATATACAAATGTACATGTGTGTGTGTGTGTGTGTGTGTGTGTGTGTGTGTGTGTGTGTGTGTGTGTGTGTGCGCGTGCGCGTGCGCGTGTGCGTGTGTGTGCGTGTGTGCGTGCATGTGAGAGAGAGTGAGTGTATGTGCTCAAAGTGGTTTGTTGCATCTCAGTAAGACTAGTCTTGAATTAGGCTTAAACAATGACTGACTAAATTTCCTCAAATCTATCTTCTTGACCAGCAAGGCAATCCAAACAGCTTGCTTGAATAATATGATGAACAACAATAATGTAACAAGCAGCAGCACAACATCAGGAGCAAGGAGACAAAATAACGACCCTACCTGGGGACCATCAGCAGATCCTCTACAAAAGTCATAAAACTCCCTTAATACTGAATCTAGGGTCAGCATATCCAAATCCCTGACTACGACAATGCATAGACTCAACAAAATGGGTCAGAAGATGTAGCTTGGGACCCGGGTTGACTTAGTGTCAGCATGACACACAACCTCAGTATAACGTTGAAAATCACCAAGTCTGAAGTACGCTTTGTGAACAGTGTTAGACAGAGCTACGAAAAATATGTTTCGATTTACCATCAAAATCATTCTCTACCAAAACAGTCTAAATAAGGAACAACTAGCCTGAGACGAGAGAGGTGCTGGTCTAGCAAGGACCAGCAGAGGAAAGAACGATTCCTCGACTACAGGCTGCACATCAGGTGTGATCATGCGACTCTCCTGTGCTACCCAGCTATGGCGCCAGGTACAGCCTGACGAACAGGTGAGCGATAACAAGTTAGTTTGCCAATGCGGATAGTGAACCACAAATCTCAGTGAGCACAGTGAAGTGTAAATGTTACATCCTACCTAATGACATACCTAAGTCAAATAATAATATAAAGCAAGATATTTTCATTTTAGCTAATAATGAAAATATCTATATAAATTGTATGAAAGGTAATGTACAGTAGACCATTATGTTACATGGTTTTATTTGGCACGTTTTTGTTATTGCACTATCGAAAAATTGCAGCACAATTTTATACAACGGCTTGAAAAAATTAACACGGTTCGGTTTGTGGGAGGGGAAAAAAATTTGGAGCCTTGCTCTAAGAATCCTTGTGCTTTGAAAGGTGTAATAAAAACACATTACTAGTAATTTAAAGGTTGAACCAATCACCATGGATGACAGAGGAAATATTTATTGACTGGTTTAAGCATCACTTTATTCCTGAAGTAAAGTTTTACCTGCACAGCAAGAACCCTGCTTTCAAGGCTCTCTTCATTCTTGATAATTTCTGTACTCATCCACAAGCTTTGCAGGGTGTGACCCCACATTTAAAGGCATGCATGTCTGCGAAAATCTGTTTTGTTGATGACTAGGTGGACGTAAGAATCTCATTAAGTGGTTGGAAGAGTTTCTACGTTGTACACACACGTTAAATTCTTTCTAAATACAGTGGTCCCCCGCTTTTCGTAGTTCCCGGCAGTCGTAAATTTCACCAATCATAGGGGTATTTTCATATAAACACGGACTCACTTGTCATAGGTTGACTCGCTAGTCGTAGTTCTTCCGGGACGTGTACCCATGGCGTGAGCCGTGGCGGCAGCCAGTCTGGCATTGTTTACCAGTGAGCGAAGGTCCCCTCATGTGCTCCAGCGAAATATTTCATAATATTCCATTTATTTTAGTGCTTGCAAGCACTAAATAAGCTACCATGGCTCCAAAGAAAGCTCCTAGTGCCAAGCCTGTGATAAAGAAGGTGAGAAATACGATTGAATTTAAAAAAAACCATTGAACAATATGAAAGTGGTACAAGTGTGGCCGAACTGTCCAGGATGTATAAGAAACCCTACTCAACCTTATGTTCCATAGTGGCCAAGAAAAAGGAAATCAAGGATGCTGTTGTTGCAAAGGGGGTAACTATGCTGACAAAAATGAGATCACCAGTACTCGAAGAGGTTGAGAAGTTATTATTGGTGTGGATAAATGAGAAACTTCGATTATTTGTGAAAAGGCTAGGCAGTTGCATGAAGATTTGGTAAAGAAATTGCCTGCAAATAGTGGTGATGTGGGTGAATTTAAGGCCAGCAAAGGCTGGTTTGAGAGATTTAAGAACCGTACTGGCATATACAGTGTGGTAAGGCATGGTGAGG